CCCCCCCCTTCTCTTCCCGCTCTGCGATCGATTGCACGATGACCACCGGCTTGGTCCAGCGCCGCCGGGGGAATGCCGGGGCCTCGGCCTCTGGCAGCTCCGTCCACGGGGGAGACTCCACCATCTCGCAGGGGTCTGGCGCCCCCGGAGGGCCGATGCACTTTGAGTCCAGCTCGGCCACCTCGCCCGACGAGGATGTCGATCTCTTTGACGACGGCAACGATCTGGATGCCAATAAGCGGATTAAGCTCACCCTCCTGGAGGAGGTGGTCCTCCTGGGGCTGAAGGACGAGGAGGTACGCACATGTGCATCCTTTGACTCCTGTCATTCACACACACACACGCACACGCACATACATATACATGTGTATATTTTTGCCTAGGCACAGAGTATGACCTCTTACCGCCATGTACTTTGAGGAGCTCCTAATCTTGTGCCCCTCCCCCCCTCCTCCTCCTCCTCCTCTCTCTCTGTCTCTCCCTCCCACCACCACTACCGCCACCGCTGTTGCCGCCCCATCTGGCTGATGGCGTCATCATGCGCAGGGCTATCTCTCCTGGTGGAATGACAACATTTCATACGTCCTTCGTGGGTGTATCCTGCTTGAGCTGAGCTTCCGCGGGCGGATTGATACCACCAAGGATTCCCGCCGGCGCGCTTTCCCCGAGCGCTGCATAGAGGTCATCGACCGGACTGTGCGTGTTCTTTTGCCAAGAGACCGCGGCTACTCCCACCCCTCACAGGGGTGAGGCTCGCATGCGCCCGCTTTTCTATTGTGCTTCCCGGGCTTTGTTTCCCCCTTCCCCCCCATCCCCCCTCCCCCTCTCCCCCCTTCTCACCATCTCCCTCTCTATCACGCACACGCACACACACACACATACACACATACACACATGCGTGCTCCCTCCCCCAAAGCCCACTGGCGATGTCCTCCTCGATGAGGCCACTCGACACATCCTCTCGGAGACCGCCAGCATTGCTGACTGGATGGATTACCTGTCCGGCGAGACGTGGCACCTGCTGCGCATGGGCTACCAGCTGAAGCAGGTCCGCGAGCGTGTGCAAAAGTCCCTCGTGGATAAGGGCGTCCTCCGGACGTCGCGCACTGGCTTCCTTCTGTTCGACACTGCCACGCACCCTTTGTCCGATCGCGCGGCCAAGCAGCTGGTCATCACGCGGCTGGTTGATTGTTTGATGCGGTTCGTTGCTTTTCAAGGCCCGCACATGCGAAAGCCAGCTTCTTTTGCCTCCCCCC